TGCCAGATTCAGCACGCCCTGAGTCGTCCGCGGCGGCACCAAAGGTGGCACCCACGTCGGCCTTCACGGCAGCGTTCGTGGAGCGTGTGTGGTTGGAGGTCATCGAGTGGTACAACGTGGTGTCACCGTCCACGTGGGCCACCCTGTGCGCCACGTACGTCATGCACTCCTTCTTCATCGGCTTCCGCGACGAGTGGCGGCGACGGAGCGCAGCTACAGCGCGGCGGCGACGCCGACAGCGCGGGGGCGACGTCGACCGCTGACGCCCTCTAGGCCACCAGACGGCCGCCCAGGGCCGCCCTGGCATCAGCCCCCACACTGCCTCGAGCCTCGAGCCGACCTCTCTGCCAAAACCTGGTAGCGCGCCAGCGGGGGCGGCTTCAGCCCCCCCGCATGGCACCACGCCTGCCATTCCTGTCATCGGCCCCCACACTGCCTCAAGCCTCGAGTCGACCCCCCCGCCAAAACCAGGTAGCACGCCAGCGGGGGCGGCTTCAGCCCCCCCGCATGGCACCACGCCTGCCATTCCTGTCATCGGTCCCCACGCTGCCTCGAGCCCTGGGGTGACCTCCCCGCCACAACCTGGTAGCACGGCAGCGGGGCCAGCCTCGGCAGTCTCGCATGCTCACACGCCTGCCCTGGGCCCTGGCTCCCTCGCAACCTCGCGTGTTAGCACCAGCACTGCCAGCACTAGCACTGTGACTGTACGGGAGCACTTCGAGCGCTTCCTCGGACCGCAACCAGCCACCATCGGTCACCTCCGAGCCGTTAACTGCCGTTTGGCCGCTTGGATCCCACCACGGCTCCACGCGGGCACAGCGGTCATCGTCCAGGGTCAAGTCCACAACCCCATCAACGGCCTCCGAGGTATCGTACGGGGGCAGTCCAGCGAGCACCCCGGCCACTGGACCGTCACGCTGTCGTCTGGGGGCACCGCCCACCTGAGATGCTCCAGTCTGACCGTCCCTGCACCTGCGCTCCGCGCCGAGATGCCGTCCCCCAGTACGGGAGCACAGACCAAGGCCCAAACTCAGGGACCCCAGCCCGGCCCAGCAGTGGACCCACGCCACCGTACCTCAGCAGCACAGCGCCCTGACGTCACGGCAGCAGTACCCTGCAGGCCACCCGCGCTGACCGTCCCACCAGGCAGCCGCGCCCAGACTGAGCGCACAGCTGACTGTGAAGTCGGACTCCGAGACTCACGCGACGACGGCGCCGACGACCACTACCTCCACCACGACCTTGGGGTGCAAGCGCCCGCGGGCTTCTGGGACCCGATCGGGTACGCAGCCGACGGCCCCAGCTACGGCCCCCCTACGGCCGGCCCCTCTGCGGCGAAGCCCGCGAGCAGCAGCGTCGCCGCTGGGAGGCAGGACGCCGACCCTAGCGGCCGAAATTTCCAGGGTGCGGACACGCTGCGAGAGGTCGCGGAGATGCTGTCGCACCTGAAGGAGCAGGACCTGCTCCAACGACTGGAGGCTGAGGAGCGCTCCGACAGGAGGAGGCTGAGGAGGCTGAGGGCCAACCGCAAGGCCGCAGCAGCCGCCGAGGGGGGCGGCGGGGACGCCGCGCAGGCCCAGGAGGAGCCACCCTACCAGGATGCTCCGGCTCCTGCGCTCCGCCGGGCCAAGCGGATCCTCTTGTCATGGGTGTTGGCCGCGCACCTGCCGCCTCTTGTGGCGGTCCCCGACCGCCGCCCCGCTAGACACACCCACTGGTTCCGCGAAGCTGGACCACAGTACGACGGACCGAGAAAGGCCGACGCGCAGCCGACTGCCCACCGATGCATCGAGCTCCGCCTATGGAGTCTGAGAGCTCCTGGCCCCCGCCCGACTTTGGCCCGCAGTTCGGACATGCTCCTAACCTGCGTGGACGCGGCCCTCGGCTTCCCGCACGGCCGCACAGCAGGCCTCATCCACCGCGCCACTCTCAAGCGTCTGCGCACTGATACTGTTTTCCTTCTTCAGTTTCTTACGTGGTCCGACGCTTTTGAAGAACGCTGGGGCTTCTCATTCACTTTGCCCTCATCCTGACCTGCGTGGTACGGCCACTGCCGTCCTTGCTCACTCGGGCGCTGTTCCCTGGCGAGCCGTGCCTGCTGGCGGGGGTGGTGGCTTCAGCCCCGCCCACGCACCCGAGCCATCACGCCATGTCATGTTCGCCATGTCGTAGCGGGTGCATCCGCCGTGAGGGCCTCCTCTGCACCCTTGCACTGTCTTTGCCTGTGCGCATGCTGGGCCATGCGGCTCCCAGCATGTGCACCTTTTCCTCAGCGCGTCTGGCGCCCCTCTGCCGTCCGCCGCCTGGCCGCGGACTCTGTCACTTTCGAGGTCCGCCAATGGGGGCTAAAGGTTAGCTGGCAGCGGCTGGTGCCGCTGTGCTGTCGGCTAGCTTTTGCCGCTCCTGTTGGGGTTCTCGGCCTGTGCGCACTGTGCTGGGCCATACGGCTCCCAGCTGGTGCCCCTTTTCTCTTTTCGCCAGCCCGTGCGCCCGCGAGGCACCGCGTCCACGGGGCCTGGGCGCGGGGGCGGGGGGTGCCCCGTCTCTGCGCGCCGCGCAGCGGCCAAGCGCCCAACCGGCGGTCCGCCAAGCCGCCTTAGCCACGTTCTTCACGTCGCCACTCGCGTTGGGGCCTTCTTCTTCACGCGGTCTGACAGGTGAGATCTTCACAGTCTGTCCGCCGTCCGTAGCTTCAGACGCAATGCGCCGGGGGAGGGGGTCTGTTGCCCGCCCTCGTATCTTAAGGCTGCACCGCCGCTGATAGTGTTTTGCGGGTTGTCGCACCGCAGTGCGCCTCGCGGACGGACCCTGGTCCGCCTACTTGTCCGGTCTCTCTCTCTCTCCTCGCTCTCTCCCCCTCTCTCTCTCTCTCTCTCTCTCTCTCTCTCTCTCTCTCTCTCTCTCTCTCTCTCTCTCTCTCTCTCTCTCTCTCTCTCTCTCTCTCTCTCTCTCTCTCTCTCTCTCTCTCTCTCTCTCTCTCTCTCCTCCGCCACTCTGCGCACGGCCGCGGCCCCCGGGGGTCGCAGCGGGGCCGACGTCGTAAGATCTGTTGGGGCGATGAACGGCAGCGTGCGCCGCCCTGCTGATCCGCCCCGGCCGCGTGCGCCTCTCCGTGGGATTTATGGTCAAGGGCGGTGCTTGGGCGGCAGGGTCGTGGCCAGCGCACCTGCATCAGTCGCGGCTGGGCCAAAGGCGAACAAGGTTAAAAGGCGCACATGGCAGGAGCCTCAATCCCGCGAGCTCGCCGCCCAGCCATGAGATGCCTGTAGAGCAACAGCTGCGGCAGATGAAGCGGCAGGTCGCTAGTGTAGCTGACAGCGCGAGAGTAATGTAAATGCACAAAGTTGTGGACGTTGCGTCGTTCCAGGGAGTGCCCATGATATTCAGGGCCCAGCAGGTCACAGTGGCCCCGTTGATGCAGCTGGTGTTGCGCCGCACCGGGTCAGAGCGACCGTGTCGCCCTGCGGCCGTGGTTCCAGGGATGTTTGGTCCGTGCGGCGGCGGTGCGCGCTGGGCTCCCTGCCTCGGCTTGTCTTCGAGGGCTTGCCAGGCCATCATGATATCGGCGAAAGCACACATCCGGCGAACCGCAGTGCGGCAGCGCGGTGCGGCCGCGCTTCATTAAGGTGGCACCTCGGAGTCCTCGATGGGGTCTTCGGCCAGCCGGGTTCGGACTGTCAGCAGGTGTCTCTGAGCAGCGCGGTCGATGGTGAGTGAGGTGCTGTTATCCTCGGAACTGAGGTGGTCGACGCGGCGTGTAAGTGGTCGACGGTGTACGTCCCTGGCGGTCCTGTCTTCTCGGCGTGGCGTCAGTGATGGGGTCCGCTCGCTGGCTTTAGCGGTGCTGGGCCTAGCGAGGTAGCGCACTGCTCTCAGTTGGAGGTGATGGGTACCTCGGCGGTTGCCGCGCATGGCGCGAGTACGGTCAGTGGCTCTCCAAGCCGGCCGACACCGTTCGATGGCTCGCGTGATGCGCAAGAGGTCCGCGTCGAGTGGGGGTAGGTGGCTACACGCTAGCGCGAGGGCCAGTTGCCAGAGACTGGCGAACGCAAACCTGATGCAATGGTCGTGCCAGGCGTCCTCCTGGTCCGCGGGCCACCACCCTGCCAAGATCCGCAGCTGTTGCTGTGCTGCTTGATAGTCCGTTGGCGTGGTGGGTGTGGTGCGGTTGGTCATGTTGCCGTTCACGTAGGTGAACGTGGGTATGGACCCTGCCCTGGGAACGCCCTTCGGGGACGTATTGGGGGCAAGGTTGTGGCCTGCTGCCCTACACTGCCGTCGGCTGCAGTAGTGGCCAGTCGTGGACGGAAGTGATTTACTTTGAGTGCTGCTCCACCCCGCTGCGCTGAGGGGAACGGGGCGCGCTATTCGGTGGAAGGTTTGATCCTGTGCCGCGAAGGGGGAGGGTGTTGTAGTTGCCACGGCCGCCCATATTGCCCAGGAGAGCAGCACGAGGGAGATTGCGCCTTTGGGTGACATCCTCAGTGCTGCTGAGTGAGGGGGCGGCTGGTGGTCGCTGTGGTAGGTTGGTCCGTGGTCATAGTGATCCGCGGGGGAATCAGACGCAAAGAGGTCGTCTGCTTGGAACCAGCTTGTGCCGTTGAAGCTGAATTGGGCCTGTCGAGCTGTACTCCGCTGCTGCTCCGTCCGCGGGGGGGGGGGCTATTGCGATGCACCGGGGCCCCCAATGGTAGGAGTCTGTCCTGTCGCTCTGAAAAGCATCGGGGAATGGTGTTGACCCGTCAATATCGTCCGCTGGCTCGTCAAGGCTGATGTCTGGCGCTTGGTGATCGTAAGCCTGCTTGGCCAGGTGGTAGGCCAGTGTAGTGTGATCGGGCTGGTCGTGGTGAAGGTTTAGATGGTGCGCGAGAGCGAGAGGGAGCAAACATACAAACAAAACATGAGAAAGAGAGAGAGAGAACAAAAAAAAACAGAGACAGAAAGAGAGAGAGAGAGAGAGAGAGACAGAGAGAAGCAACGAGCGAGAGAGAGAGAGATGAACAAGAGAGATAGAGCGAGAGAGGGAGAGAGGGAGAGAGGGAGAGAGATGGGTGCGGAGCGCGAGCCTGACAAAAAACAACAAACCGCATCAGGTGGAAGGGGGAGAATCGTGCTGCCTGCGCGGGCCGCGTCAGATGCGGATCGGGGACCTGGGGCTGTTGCACGAGGAGGGCGGCGACATGCGCCGCATTGAGACGGCCGCGCTCTCCAGGATGTCCAGCTGGCGCGTCAGCTGGCGCGACATGGCCTTTTCCTGCCCAGCGTTGCCAAAGTTGCCCCTGGCCCGAGATGCCCCCAGAGCTTCAAGAGATGCCAAAGCACCCCCACGAGGCCCAGAGGCCCCCAGGGGATCCACAGTGGCGCGGAGTAGCTGGAAGCACCGTGGGTAAGGAGCACTTCCCACGCATCCGACGGCGTGAGTCTTTCGACACGGTACCATCAGAAGCATCGAGCCCCTCCCCGAGGCCATGTTCGCATCCCCAATCTTTTCTGAATGGTGCCCTGGAACCGAAAACGGCCTGCGAAGGCCAGACGCTGGAGAGGGGGGGGGAACTCCAGCTTTGTTTCAAGACGTGGACGGTCTAGAGCAACCTCTGGTTCCCACAGATCCTGGCGTTTGCTGGACTCGTCCTGGTGCTTCTTCAAGATGTCCAGCACGCTCACGACGTCGATGTTGCGGGCGGGGCCCTTCAGGCGCGCGATGCCCTGGATGAACGCCTCGACGCTGACCTGCCACGAGAAAGCGACAGTTCGCTAAGTGAGGACGACGCTGACCTACGAGGAGAACGCTGCGTTGTTCTACCGACTCGCGCGCGCGCCGTCTGTGCACTATGGAACTCGCGATGTTCGAATGACACGTCTGCGCTGTTCTTGCGATTGGGCAATGGGCTGTTGTTGCGATTGGGCAATGTGTTGTTCTTGCGATTGGGCAATGGGCTGCTCTTGTCACGAACGGCTCACGGAATCCTGTGAAGAAGAAAGGAGAGTGGACGGAGGGGGTGAGGGAGGATCCCTAACCCTCTTGCGCCATGGAAGAAGAGTGACTGACGGTATCTGACAGATTCCGGCCTCGTCAAGGGCCCTACCTTACTATTGGCCCAAGGCCCGTAAAACAAACGCTCTTACTCGGGCTGCAGATCCGGCCCTTACGACGGGTCGAGACCCGCAGGGTTCCCCGCCGTGGGGAAAACCGAAACAAAACGTCTGGGATCTGGGGTCTCAAAGGTGCTCGGAGATGCGCGAAGGCTCTCGGCAATTGGCTGCTGTGCTCGGAGATGTCGGGAGGCTCTGGAGGCTTCTGGAAGGGGAGGGAGGAAGGAGAGCGAGAGGGTGGGAGGAGGGAAAGAGGGAGGAGACAGGACGGGGGAAGGAGGAGAGACAGAGAAGGAAGAGGAGGAGGAGACGCAGAGGAGGAGGAGGAGGAGGAGGAGGAGGAGGGAAGGAGCGACAGGGGAGGAGGAGGAGGAGGAGGAGGAGAACCAGTGCAAACCCAAGTCATCAACAGTGTTGGAATCAACCGTCCCTTCAAGCTCCCTCTTCACAGGCCCCTACAACGGCTCATTTCCACTGAGGGAACCGCCTCGTTGGAAGACAACCGTTCGAAGACCCTGAAACATGCCAACACATTGTTCTCAGGATTCCAACGCCACTGATCAACTTGACTGTTGCGCCATGACGGTCCTGATGCTTGCCAGAAGGCCATTCCTGGAATTTCAACACCGCGAACCTGAATCCTTCCAAACACTATTTCTGGCACGGTGATCTTGGGAATCCGTGAAACGCTTGCAAAATTTAAACGCGAATGTGCGCGGCGCCAAAGCGATAACCACATTTTGAGAAGGAACCGCCCTCAATTCGTGAAGCTCTTGCAAATGATTCAAAAGAATGTACGCGGCGCTCGAGCGAGAGAAACGTTTGGAGAACGGCCCGCCCTCAATCCGTGAAGCTCTTGCAAACGTTGAGAACACATGTGCGCGGCGCTAAGGCGAGAGCCACATTTTGAAAACGAGATGGGAGGAGGAGGAGGAGGAGGAGGAGGAGGAGGAGGAGGAGGAGGAGGAGGAGGGGGGCTCGCGGCGCGCAGGCAGGCGGCGGGGGGGGGGGCGTCTCAGGGAGGCAGGCGACCTCCTCCAGTCGGGGGCGAGCCGAGGGGGGGAAGCGAGAAGGGGCGGGCCTCCTCCGGACGCTCGGACGGCCGCGGCCCTTGCGAGCAGTGCCGCAGGCCTGCTGCCCCGGAGGGCACGGGAGAACGCCCCGCGGGAGGCCGGAGGGCTTCTGAGGAGCCCCGCCGCCCTCCCGAGAAGGCCTGCGTCCTCGAGCATCGCGGAGCCGACCCTCCTCCCCAGGGGCGTGGCCTGGGCTCCGCGGGCCGATGTGCCCCCGTAGATGGGGGTACAGGCTGTTTCCCGCGGGATTCGACAGGCAGATCCCCGACTGGGGCGCTAAGGCGGTGGGGGTCGGGATGGAGATGGGGATGGGGATAGGAGTCGGGCGCGCGATGCTGACTCCTCTCAGTTCTCCCCAAGGCGCGCATCTTCCCGAGGGGCGCCGCCGCTGCAAGCCGCGCGGAGGCTTCAAAGGAGCCGCCTCTGTGCCCCTCTGAGGAGGCCCCCACCCCTCTGAACAAGGCTCCACCCCAGCTCTTGCGCCGCGGGCAGGATCGGGGGCCCCCCAAACGGGGTGGTGACCACACCGTGCGGTGAGTCGGTGGGGATCCGGGGTCACCGCACGGTTTTGGGACTCGGGTCGTTCTCCGAGGATGTCTCGGGCGACAGGGGCCTCTGGGGTCCCAAGACCGTGCGGTGACGGACCGTGCGGTGACGTCTTGACGGATTTCGAGGTCACCGCACGGTCTGTCACCGCACCGTTTCGGGACTCCAAAGAGGAGGACCTCAGAGTTCCCGTCCGCGATCAGCTCAAAGAGCATGTCGGTGTCAGCGCAGCGGAGTTCCATGGCTTCGAGCCAGGTGCGGATCGCAGGCTTCGCGAGCACGTACGCCAGCTCGTCCTTCGTGAGCATGCCGTTCCCGTCCTCAGAAATTCCCACGATTGCGAAACAAGAACAGTTCACCAAAGCGAGCGCGATTGTTTTGAATGTTTGCTTTTCGTCGGCTGTGGATGTTCCATGCCCCACAGCCGGAAAGGACGACACGTATCGGGAAAAACCTGTCCCAGGGGTGTAGCCGAGAGGAACAACTAACGACGTCGCAGGTACAGGTCCTGGTCAGCCATTGTGAACAGGCGCGTGATGGCATCGGTATGCTGGCTGGACTGCCTCATCCTTGTCCTCACCATGATGAACTCGTCGTTCGCCGCGACGCTGAAAATCTCCTGCATGAAGGCACCATTTATCCGCCGACCCCCCCTGGGTGTCTCAAGGCGTTTGGGATTCCTCCACCTCCTACACAGCAGAGCCATCGCTAAGAGATCATGATACCAGAGATCTAGGGGGTCCGTGTGTCATCGATCTCTGAACTTCTTCAGGTGTCCCGTCGCGTCATACGACATCTACGTGGGGCACCTGCTGGCAAGCAGGCTTGGCATGCGACGCGCGCGCTGCATTCCAACCCGCCAGAGGCCCAACATTGTGAGCTGGAGGGGAGGGCGATGACTGAAAGCGACGGATGCATTGCACCCCTTTTCTCTTCCACGGGATCTTTGAGGTTCCCAGAATCCTCCAAGATGGGACAGGAGGCCTCCGGGATGGTCCAAAGGACATCCACGAGCGGTCAGGAGGCCACACGAAAGCCCAAGGCGGCCTCAAGCCAGCCCGTGAGGCTTCCAATGCATCCCGAGAAGGCACCTAAAGGGCTCCGACGGCGGTCTTCAGGGATAACACCCCTTGATCCCCCGTGCATGTTTCAATGACTTCCGGTTCTCCCGATTTCGAATTTCGGAACGCTCCATACGGCCTAAGAAGCTTCCCAGAACAGCCCAAGACGGCTCCAGACGTCCCCCAGAAGGTCCACAGCCAGCCAAAGAGAGTACCAAAACGACCCAAGAGGTCCCCAAGATGATCACAGATGCCCCCGACAAGGCCCCAGAAAGGTGCAAAACAAGGGAATCCACGGGTCACTGGGAGCTCTTCCACTCAAGACAAGGCCAAAAACCCTAAACATGCCCACGTGGCGCCGACAAGGAATCCAGACGCGCCTCCAGAAGACCCCGAAGAGCCCAAGAGGTTCCCAAGACGCAAAAGGCCACGAGGCCCGCCCCATGACCTCCAAGGCACCAAGAAAACTCGCAACTGAGGCCAAACTAAACGAGCTCCACAAGCTTCCATCTCCTCTCCTTCCTCCTTCCCTCCTCTTCCTCCCTCCTCTGACCGCGCCTCCTCATCTTATTCAATGTATCCACGTCTTGGAACCCGCGCGACCATTCACGGCCTCAACGGCGTCTTCATCCCGACAGCTTCCCAAACATTTGGGTCGTTCCGGAAGGCCTGAATCCAAAAAGTGTTGCCATCTATTGGGGACGCATTTACTGTTCGAGGCGGCCTGGGGGTCTGAACTGAATGGCCCACCGAGAAAAAATCCCCAATCCGTTCGAAATGAATCCATGACCGTCCAGGGGCCCGAATACGGGCCACGGATATCGAAAACGGCAGAAAACAAAAACACAACAAATGCGAGACATCGTAAACCCCACAACGTGTGCCTTACGATCTACGGATTGCCATGTAAGTGGGGCAATAGATGCTGTGCAAACTAAGTGGTGCAATCTGCGTGATGATACTCACCGTATCTAACATGAAATTGCCAACTCCACTGCTCGCGCAATTGTCCCTCTCACCCAATCGCAAATCCGTTTGCAAAACCATGAAATGGCGTTTGCGATGACTGCCGGGCGCTGGCGGGCGCATCACCGCAATCGCGCTAGCGCACGCAGGCTTGCGCGCACAGCGGCCAGCTAGTCTGGCGCGACCGACGTGGCCGCGGTTGCGCTGACCGCTGGGCACTTCCGTTCGAGTCGGTGGCCCGGGCGGGCGCGGTCTCATGGCGAAGTCGACCATGGTAGACACGGTGATTATAGCAGCGATGCTGGTGACGACGATGACAGATACGACGGCAAGGCCAATGACGGCACCGCTGCTGATCACGCCGATGACAACGATGGTGTCCACATGTTGGCGATGACAACTTGAAATAGATCTCGACATGCGCGCGCGGCTGGCGGGCGCGAGTGGCCCGCATGGTGTCATCGCCAGGGATCGCGCCAACCCCCCAGCACGCGCGCAATCGCCTTCCAATCATATTGACACGCGCGCTCGACATGCCCGCTTGATCGCATTTGATGAAAACGTTGAGAACTTATGGTTTGCTCTCGGATTCGCACGAACGCGCGCGGACCTTTTTTGAACCACCATGTTGCAGATCCATGTGTTGTGATGCGTTTTCGGGACAATCGATTTTGAAATCTGGTTTGCGCGCGACGACACGCGCACACGCACGTGCGCACGTCGTCCTAATTGTGCAAGGCGCTCTCGGAATTTGACCATGTGTGATAAACGAGTGTGCGCGCGTAGTGCATTTTGCGCCGGATAGTGAAGGGGGGTCCGGTGTAGCTGGGATGGCATGACTTCGTACTCAAGATGAACGATTGGGGCGGATAAAATTTGGGGGAAATCAGATTTGCGCTTTGGGAAAGAGAAATCGGTGAGATTGAATTGACGCTGTGCGGTATATATTCGATGTGCATGTAAATATGTGTGATATAGATGTGTGATAACATACACGTATGTATGCTTGTGTTGTTAAGTTGCAAAATTTACAGATGTTGTATATGTTGAATGTGGTGAATGGTTATATATGCTTTTCATGGTATGTATGTTAATGTTATATAGTATGTACTTGTTTTATATGATCTAGAACCACGCGCGCTACGTGCGCGCTTATGGTCTAGCTAGCTGTGCAGCAATCGTTGTACATGGACCCTGCGCTGTTCCACGATGAGAAACATACCAACAGAGAGCTCCCCCAGACAAGGGCCGCTCTTGGCGAGTGGAGGTGCTGGGCGTTCTGGGGGATAGCTTCGCTTTCTGTGGGCGGTCACGGAACCGTGAGAGATCGACATGCGACGCGTCGGAGGGTTCCCAGTGCTTCCAAGACTGTGCAATGGACACGACTGCCAGAATGGCCGAAGAAGGCCCCAGATGCTCCGGGCCGCCAGGCCGCGGTGGCCGCCGCCCCCGCGGCCGCCGCCGCGGCCGCCGCCGCCGAGGCCGCCGCCGCCGCCGCCGTGATGATCATCAGGGTGGTCGTCGTAGTGGTCGTGGTGCTGGTGGTTGCCTTCTGTGGACGTGATCAGCCAATTACACGTTCTGGGGCGTGTTGTGCTTGTCTGGGGCCTCCGGAAAGCTTCGGATCTAGGAAATTAGTGGAGGCCGGAGGCCGTCGTCGATCGATTGTCGTCATTGTATTCGTCGTCAAACCTCTGAAGGCCGCCGGGGCTCCTCGTCGTCACTGTCGTCGTCGCCGTGGTCGTCGTGGTTGTGGTCGTGGTCGTGGTTGTCGCTGCCAACGTCGCCGCAACCGTCTACGAACGAGGAGGCAGAATGAGGGATCAAGAACTGAGGATCGAGGTCTGTAAATGATTGTGTGCCTTCTTGGGCCTTGCGGGGTCGTTTTCGTCGCACGGCCCAAGACGGCTCAAGAGGGGCCGAACACGCTCCAAGAAGGCATTCATAAGGGATCCAGACGGGCCCAAGGAAGCTCCAAGACGGAACAGTTAGGGTTCCTTGGCGACCCCAAACAGGACCCAGGAGACCCCACACACGGCATGGAAAGCAACACATTGCAAAGCTTGCGCCGAAGAAAGCCCGCGAGGCCTCCAATACGGCCCCAAAACAATACCAAGAGGACTCCAACACAGCCGCACACCAGTCTCCATAACCTGCCCGGGCGCCCCATGAGAGGACTGCCTCCAACTCGACCCAAGAGGGACCCACGAAAAGCCCTGGACGGCCAGGGTACTTCCAAGTCTCAAAAAGCAAAGCGCTCAATCATTTCACCCCGGTGGTCTCGCAGTGCCAGGGGTATGATTGGGACTGCCAGGATATGTGCGTATAGGGATACGACCGAAGGGTCGATCCTATACGGGTGTCCGTAGGTAGAGGCAAAGGAGGAAGAGGTTAGCTACTCCTTCTCCTGGGCGCTGCGCGGAGAGCAGCGCGGTATGTTGTTCATGCCAATAATTACCTGAGCCGATACGCTCGCGGTATACGACGATAGAATGGTGATACGAGCGGACTTCACACACAGGAAGGGGAGGGCGTCCCAACATCAGAGCTTGCCCCCGTGCCGTGCGCAGAAGCATCGGAGGGATACCGCCCAGGGGGGACCAGCCAGCCCATGCAAGACCTGCCGCAGCCTGCCCGCGCCGCAGGCGGTGACCAGCCCGATCCGCTCCCTGCCCATGGCCCCTCCGTGGCCGCAAGCGGCCCTGGCCTCTCCGGACCCAGGGGGCGAATGCAATGTGAACCCAATCGAAGACGGCGAAAGAAACGGCCTCAAGTCGGGGAGACGTAAGACCCGGGTACGGTGGACTCGGAAATCCCCGACGAGGTCGTCAAAAAAATGACGAGGCCGAGCCTGCATTTTGACGAGGCCTCCCGCTGCAGACATCCCACGAAACTCCTCCTCGTCAAAATCCGAGGCGCGGTCGTAAAAAAACGATGGCGAACCCGAGTCCTGGCAAACCCAGGTCTTGCGCTCCCCCGATCAAGAGAAAACGCATTGGGGCCGTTTTCGGCCGCCGGGGGCGCAACGAGGTCCCACGGAAAAAATTCAGACGACCAGTCCCGACAGGTTACCGCAAGAACTCGGTTCGCGTGCGAGGCGGTAACCAGCCAGAACCGCTCCGTGCTCACACCCAATTCCAGCAGCAGCGACCCTGTCCACTCCCGGCCCAAAGGGCTGGGGCACGCTGAACAGTCGAAGACGGCGAGAAAAGGGCGATGAACAGGAAACATCCTAGGGCCGTTTTCGGCCGTCGGGGAGGGGAGGGGGGCAGACGAGGACAGTGAAAGAAGAAGACGCAGAGGATGGAGGAATGCGGAAAAGGAGGATGGATGAGCAGTGGGAAACTATATAAAGCAGGCAGAAGCGGAGAATATGCAATAGGAGGATGGGGCACAAGAGAAGGAAGAAGAAGAAGAAGAGGACGGATTGAAAACATATGAAAAGAAAAGAGGGGGAACGCGAAGGGATGGGGGAGAAGAGGTCGGTGAAGAGGTAGGAAGACGATAACAACAAGAGAAACCGTCACATCTTTATCGGTCAGTGATTTTGGTTGTTAACAAGGGAACATGTTCGGGTGTGGCTTACTTGTGCGAGCAATGTGTCACCGCACATCGCGCCTTCGGGCTGTTCGCGCGCGACTGCCAGCGCTGGCGCGAGCATGTTCATTCGCGTCGCTGTGGAGCGGCGAGCGAGCGTTTCCCGCATCAACCTGCGGGAGTGGCAACTGCGCGACGCCTGATGGCACAGTCCAGTGCCACTAACAGGAGCAGGAATCAAACGATTCCACGCTATGCGCGGGGGATGTCCATGCGTGGAAGATCAGAGACGACGCGTCGTGCGAAATCGTCGAAATAGCAGTCACAGCGCAGGCGCCCTAATCAAGGCGGGTTGTTGCTGAGCGCGCGGTCGGAGGTTCAACGCGGCTGCCCTCGCAGCACGGCGCGCATCGCTGTCGCCCGCGCGACTGGTTTTTGCCGGCGCTGCCATGAGAAGCGCCGCCATTAATCATTAATCCAAGGCGGCCCGCGGCCGCCTAGATTGTGAGAACTGGTTCTGACTGAACTCTGGCAGGAGGGGAAGGGGAGGGAAGGAAAGGGGGGGCGGGAAGGAAAGGCGGAGAATCAGGACAAGGGGGAGGGAAAAACAAAAATGGGGTGGGAGGTGAAAGAGGGAGGGGATGGGGGCGGGAGGGAGGGGGGGAAGAGAGGAGGGAGGGGAAGAAGGATGAGGGGGAAGAAGAGGCGAAGAGAAGGAAAGCAAAAGACACGGCAGTGCCTGCCTGCCTCGCGGTTTCAGCCAAAACGTCCGTGGACTGAAGGCTGCCTAGGCCAGGGTGGTGCAAGAAAGGGATGTTGTACACTGGGGGACGGGTGGACGCCGCCCAAGTGGTGCACACTGGTGGTGTTCACTCGGGAGACCGGTCCGGGCGCGTGTGGTGCTCACCGGAAAGTGCGCAATTCAAACTGCACACGCACTCCCAGGTGTGCACCCCCGTCGGCGCCCCCAGTGTGCACCACTTGGCGTCTCTGCGCAAAGAGGATTTTTGGTAGTCGAAACACTACCAGCGCTTCGGGGGGGCCCCACACAGTGCACCTCGATGCGGGCCCCCGTGACGGGTCCCAGGGGGGTGTCCGGGCAGCCAGCAATCAGGGACGACGGCAAGAAGGATTGGGAGACTGGAGGGGCGGAGAGCCGGAAACGGGAGGGGACCGAGGGAAGGGAGCCCGGAGAGGGAGGGGATGGAGGGGAGGGGCGGTGAGCGGAAGCGAGGGGGCGAGAGGGAGGGGGGGGAGGGCAGGGGGGGAGGAGAGGAGCGAGAGGCGGTAAGGAGGGAGAGGGCACGAGAGGGACGGGAGGGAGAGCAGGCGATGGGGGGCGAAGGGGATGGGAGGTGAAAGAGGTCTCGGCCCCCAGATACCCTGCCAAGCACGACTAAACCACACTCTCGGCTAAACCACAGCCCTTGTGGGCCTGGCCCTCGCCTAGAGGTCCCCTGACCAAGCCCCGGCAAAAAAAGGGCGAGGGACGTCGGAAAGCATCGCAGCTCTAGGCCGGTCCCATGCACTGCGAACCCTGGTTAAAGCGTGCGGAGGCCAAGCTCTAGGCCAGGCCAATCACGGCACGGCATGGAACGGCGAAGTATCGCGGTCTGCTGACCGAGCACGACACCGCAAGGCACACGTAGTGTGTCTCGGACGGCCAGGGTGCGCTTGCAGACCCGGCACGGCACGGCACGGCAACGCACATTTGCTTCGCTATGCCGAACAAGCGCGGCACGGCACGGCAAGGCACATGCGATGCATCCTGGGAACCGAACGCGGCACAGCACGGCACGGCACGGCACGGCGGGGCTGTCGACAACAGCCACCGCCGCAAAGCAAACGAAAGGGCAAGCGCGCACAAGCCAGCATCCGTACATGAAAACAGAAGGCACCACAAAAACAGTGGGATGAACATATGGAAGGGCCACAGACGGGAACAAAAAGATCCCAGTGAACCTGCCGATGGCTTCGTAACGAAAGATAGATTCAATATAGGGAAAGGAGAAGGAAATAACAACTATAATAGGATAGTGAGTCGGCGGAGGTAGAAGCTACATCACCGAATGCGTAAAGGAAGACGGCGATCAGGAACATGAGGATGCACATGAAATGGAACAGTATAAGGAGGGAAAGGGAGGGCGCGAGGGGAGGAGGAGGAGGAGGAAGAGGAGGAGGAGGAGGAGGACGAGGAGGGACGAGCGGGCGGAACGCCTGTTCCGTCGTGTCCCCCGCGAAGCGGCGTGTATCACAGCGATCGCCGCAACTCCGACCGACCATTTGTAGGCCATGCAAAAGATGCTGAAAGATTCGTGCACTTCCTCCATCATAAACCGGCAGATAGTAGGCCAGTTCGCCAAGGCGAGTTCGAACATTGACAGCAACGACCGAGAATAGGTGCCGAAATATAAGAACAACTGGTTCTTAGTCGCATCTGGGAGAACCGACTCCTCGTGCAGAAACTCCCACCGGACGACGGTTGAAAACAGCATGGCGAAGACCGTGAGGATCAGGAACAAGAGAACGGCACCGAAGCACAGCGACCCGAGGCTGCCCGCGAGCGCAGTAGTCATGAGATGGAGGGAGTCTAGAAAATGAAACCTCCTGACCAAACGGATCAGCCGCAGTAGCCTCAGCAGCCGCAGGATGCGCAAGAATTTCAGCCTGGCTAAGGGCCCGCCCATGTGCGAGAAGAGTATGACGTTGGATATCCAGATCACACCAAAGTCCACAATCTCCAAGGGTTGCCTCCAGAATGGCACTCTGAGCTGGCACTTGGAGCCCAACTTCAGAGTCCAAAGGTCGTACACAAACGTAAGACCGATCTCGATCGTAAACAGTATGGCGAAGACCACCTCGACGACGAACATTATGTCGTTGGCCTGGTTCCCCCAATTCCGCATGAAGTCCTCGGACCCGTAGACCTCGTAGATGCCAAGCCTCGCACCCACCTGGATGCCCATAAGCTCCTCCTGGACAAGCATGATGAGCATGTTCACGAACACAAGCACGGCGACCAAGCTCTCATACCTGGGATTGGTCACGACCGACCTCAGGACCCTGAAGGCATAGGATGCGGCATCGAACCGCTCCAGGTCGTCCTCAACGGCCTTGATGCTGTCCTTCGCTCCTCTCGTCGACAGCTCGCGAAGAACCTTGGCATGGGGGAAGCAGGTCCCGAGGGGAACGGGCCCTGGACCCCGGGGCCTCCCCCCTGGACGAGTTCTTCATCCTGTGCTGTTTTCTGACAGTCCCGTGGCCCGCGGAGGGGCCCGAGAGCCCGAGAACGGCGAAGCAGTTCAGGACGCGCGTTTCCTTCAGGGCTCGTTTCCCCCACGGCAGGAACCATCTGGTCCTCGTTATTGAAGTGCCGTCCCTTGCTGGAGCTGCGCCTTCCGCTCAACGACGCCAGCGACAGCGAAGCGATGCCGTCGTGATTGGAGGCAACTGACACCGAAGAGACGCCTCCCTCGCCGACGCTGCCCTCCGACGTCGACCTCCAGATGTCGTCTGGAACCGACAGGCGAAAATGTCTCTTCGTCGCGATCTCCTCTGCGCCCGCGCTCTGAACGCCCGTGCGGCGCGTCGGGCTGTCTCTGGAGCTCCTCTCGGCTACACGCAGGAGTGACCCTAGGCGAGAGTGGCCTTTGGTGCGCGGCCCAGGGGGGGGCCCCTTTCGGGACACCGCCAGGCACGCAAGCAGCTGGTGTTGCATCGCATTCAGCGACCGGTGGCCCCCACGGGTCCCGCACCACAGGCCACTCTGGCAAAAGTTCTCTCTTACGTGTAGCCGATCCTCTTGCTGCTGGCGTGGAGGGTCGACTCCTCGGGGGAACACCAAAAGAGGCCTGCTGCTCCTCCCGGGGCTCCTCCCGGGGCGCTCTGACCACGACTCGGGGGCGAGCCCAGCCGGGGCGCCCGGGGGGGCCCCAGGAGGCACAGCAAGGCGGAAACGAGGGAAGGGCAGCGGCATATCGGTGCTCTCTATTATCTCCTCTCGGTCCTGGCTGTCGAGGCTCGCCCCGTGCAGCCTCGGGCTGCCGTCTGGCTCCGTGTCCGAGGCGGAGCGGCTGCGGGTGGAGCCCGCTGGCACCACGCCGCCGTGCTGCGGGCTGCTGAGCTGCTGCACCAGCGCGTTGGCGCTGTCCGCGAAGGCGGTGGTGTCGGCCACCTGCTGCGAGAACTTCCCGCCCCGCCGCTGCATGACGAGCCCGACGAGCTCCAGGTGCCGGCCGAAGGCGTGAAGCGTCGCCGGCTCGGCGCGCCCGGGCGCGGCTCCGGACGGCGCCTGCCAGTCGTCGGCGCCGTGGCGGGCTGTCGCCTCAGGCTGGCCGCCGCTGGCGGGCGGGTCGCAGGGGGCGGGTGGGCAGTGAGCGGGGCGCATCGTGTGCACAGGGGGCCCGTCTCCGACGAGGAGGGTCAAGTCGCTAGGTGGCGACATCCTTAACCCCACCCCGACCAACTATGGATTCTCTGGAATCGATGGGAGGCGAGGGTCGGGTTCGGACTCCGCCACGTGCCCGGCGAGATCCAAACCCTACCCCCGCCTCGGCTACACGCAAGAGTGACCCTAGGCAAAAGACACCTTTGGTGCGCGGCCCAAGGGGGGGCCCCTTCGGGACACCACCAGGCACGCAAGCCGCTGGTGGTGCATCGCATTCAGCGACCGGTGGGCCCCACTGGGCCCGCACAAAGGGCCACTCCGGTGGAAGGGAACTCCTACGTGGAGCCGACCACCGCCCATCGAGTTGCCTGAGAACCGTTGATCGGCGAGGTCAGGGCTCGGATTTCGCCCCCGAGACGCGCGGCCGCCCCTCCTCGCTCGCGCGGGCGCCGCCCGGCGGAGAGGGCCGAGGCTCGGGCCCGTGCCGGCGCGCGCGGGCCGCGTGGCCAGAGGGCCTCCGGCTCCTGCTGCTGCCGCTGCGCGTCCTGCTGCTGCCGGTGCGCCGGTGCGCGGTCCCCCGAGCAGGCTCCCCTGCCCCCCTCTGCTGCTGTGCCGCCCTGCCCCTGCTCTGCTGCAGGGCTCGCCCTGCACCCTCGCCCTGCACCCTCGCCGCCTCGTCGGCGCCCCGTCGTGCTTCCTCGCCGCGCTTCCCCGCCGTGCTTGCTCGGTCCCTCGTCGCGTTCCCCTGCTCGGTGCTCGCCCTCCCCGCGGCCCCTCCGCCCGCGGGCCCTGGGCCCCGCCCCGCGGGCCCCGGGGCCGCCGCCCCTCGCCCACACCCCGCGAGCCCGGGCCCGCGCGAACCTTGCTGGACCATCTTCCTCCTCCTCGTCCTCCCCCTCCTCTTCTTCTTCGTCTTCTTCTGATGCGTCGTCTTATTCGTCGCCTTCGTGTGGCTACTCTTCTTGTTAATATTATTATTCTTATTCGTAGTATCCGTCTTAGTCTTACTGCTATGATTAGTATTCGTATTAGTCGTATATTTATGAGTCTTAACATTATTAATATTATCAGCACTACTCGCATTATGATTGATCGCAGTCTTATTTATGCTTAGTACGAGTAGTATTATTAATAATACGAACGTCAAAATTAAGATGACTATGATTAATAATGGTATGGGTATGAATAGTTCTATTAGTATTACCATTCGGCATATTATTCATATTACGTTTAATATAACCCTTTTTTATGCGTATCATTCGTATTACTAGCGTCAGTAATAATAACAACAGTACTATTAATACTAATCGCACTATAATTCACATCATTATCCGTAGTATTAGTTTAAGTCGGTTCTTATTGTAAGTCTTAGTATCAGTACTAATGTTAGTAGTGGTATTCCTTTTATTCGCAATAGCAATAGTATTATACTTCCGTTTCCTTCATACTATAATTCAATAATATTATCATTGATGATTCACCTTCGCGTTCTTATTATTATATTCATATGCTCAATATTCGAAATAATTTGATGTTAAAGTGACCATTGCTAGTATTGCTCCTCTTCTTCTTCTTCCTACCATTCTTATTAGAAGTCAAATGATCTTTCTTCATATTATTAGTATTATGGTTTCTACTCTTATGATTAATAATAGTATGTTTATGTGTCCTCCTCCTCCTGCTCCTCCTCACTCCGCCTCCTCCTCCACATCCTTCTCCTCCAACTCCTCTTCCTCCCTCCACTTCCTCCTCCTCCTCCTCCTTCTCCTCCTCCTCCTCCTCCTCTTCCTCCTGCTCCTCCTCCTCCTCCTTCATCCTCCCTTTCCCTCCTCCTCATCCTCCTCTGCCTCCTCCTCCTCCTCTTCCTCTTGCTCCTCCTCCTCCTCGTCCTCATCCTCCTCTATCCTCTCCATCCCCCTCCTCCTCCTCCTCCCCTCCTCTCCTCTCCCTCCTCCCCCCTCTTCGTTCTCCTCCTCTCCTCCTCCTCCTCCTCCCCTCCGCCTCCTCTCCTCCTCCTCCTTCTCCTCCTCCTCCCTCCACTTCCTCCTCCGCCACCTCCTCCTCCTCCTCCTCCTTCTCCTCCTCCTCCTGCTCCTCCTCCTCCTCCTCCTCCTGCTCCTCCTCGTCCTCCTCCTCGTCCTCCTCCTCTTCCTCCTTGTCGTATGTGTCCGTAGCCATTTTGGCTCAAGCCACCCTGGCTCAAGGCCCCGCCCATGCGTTTCTTTGTTGACGTTGATTTGCTGGGCACCTCGCTAGGATACCGTAATTAGTGAATTCTCTGAGTGCTTCGGAGTTTCTAACGATGAGCTCGAGATCGTCGTTTTCGCAGGAGGCTCTATCTACGGCTGCACCACTGTCGCCGCCGCCAGGGATTTGGAGCCCGTTCGACGTGGTGGACCAGAAATTCAACAAGGGCATGTAGCTTCCGAAGCAGGTTTCCCTGCCGATGAAGCCGGAGGAGGAGGTGCAGTCAGTAAAACGCATGAGGAGATGGGACCGGTTGAAGGTCAACCAGAAGGCGTCGGATCAGCCTGTGGTCCTGGCTTTGGAGGAGAATTTCGAAGGTGCCAGCACGGGGTCCCCGACATCGACGGTAGCGAAGGTGGTTTCGCATCCTCCGGAGCCTCCGGACGCTCCGAAGTCTTGCATGAAGATCCCGACGCCGCCGCCGGCTCCGGAGGTGGCAGTGGCCAAGCGCCCTCGGAAGCGCAAGCACAAGAAGAAGCACAAGGACGTCCGCTCGGAGGAGGCCATGGCGGGCTTAAAGGAGTGGCTGCCAGCACCCCCGCCAGCAAGGGCTGCATCGAGCAGCTCTGCGTTGCGGGCGGCGCCGCCGCCGCCTCCACCGGCCCGTATTCCCCGCACCCCGCCGAGGAAGAGTCCACGGCCTTGAATTGCTTCATCGGCGATCGCACGCGCCGTAGATGAAAGCACAAGAAGAGGGAGAAATAAGTTGTGGATTCAAAAGCATTATTGGCTGAGCCTCCCTCTGATGAGGCTCGCTCGTCTGTCGCTGAAGCCGCTTCTACAATCGGGCCCTCAGTGGTCTCTTCAAGTGCTGGTTTGGCTGAGCCTCCAACTGTTGAGGCTCGCCCTACGCTTGTGGAACCCTTTTTGGCTGAGCCTCCGTCTGATGAGGTTCGCCTTTCACCTGCTACTTTGGCTGAGCCTCTTTCCGAGGCTCGCCTGGGAGAGTTCGTTGACGCTGGTTTGGGGATGCCTCCTTCGGTTGAGGCGCCCTCCGATCAGATGGCCATGAGCGTTCTTTCGGGCGAGGTGGAAGGTTCGGCCCTTTCAGGGCAGTTGTTTCCCCAACTATCTTGTGGTGTTGGGTCCTCGTTTTGAAGAGACAGCACCCCGCGTTCGTCATCGTCCTCCTCCTCCTCCTCTTCCTCCTCCTCCTCCTCCTCCTCCTCCTCCTCCACCTCCTCCCCCTCCTTGCCTTTGCTCTTCGCATGTCTCTGTTTCGGTACGCCCCTCACACGTTTCGTGGTTCCCTAGGGAGCTCCACCTAAGGTCCCAGTGGCGGAACTCGCATGGCGGCCCCGGGCCATTTCGGCACACCCCTCACACGTTTCGTGGCCCCATAAAGGGGGGGCTCCACCGAAGGTCCCACTGGCGGAACTCGCATGACGGTCCCGCCCCATTTTGGTACAGATCTCACACGTTTCGCGGCCTTTTTGGGAGCTCCACCTATGGTCACAATGGCGGAACGCGCATGGCGGCCCGCCTCATGTCGGCACACCCCTCACACGTTTGGTGGCCCCATACGGAACTCCACCTATGGTCCCAGTGGCGGAACTCGCATGGCGGCCTCAGCCCATTTCGGCACACCCCTCACGCGCTTCGTGGCCCCATAAGGAGCTCCACCTAAGGTCTCAATGGCGGAATTCGCAAGGTGGCCCAGGGCCATTTCGGCACACCCCTCACACGCTTCGTGGCCCCATGGGGAGGTCCACGTAAGGTCCCAGTGGCGGAAAGTTTGCATAACTGCCCCGCCCCATTTCGGCGCACCCTTTTCACACGGCTTGTGGCCCCATAGGGAGCCCCACCTAAGGTCCCAGTGGCGGAAAGTTCGCATATGGCGGCCCCGCCCCATGTTGCCGCGCCCCTCACACAATTCGCGGCCCCATTGGGAGCTCCACCTAAGGTCCCAGTGGCGGAACTCGCATGGCGGCCTCGGCCCATTTCGGCACACCCCTCACACGCTTCGTGGCCCCATAGGGAGCTCCACCGAAGGTCCCAGCGGCGGAACTCGCATGGCGGCCTCAGGCCATGTCGGCACACCCCTCTCGAGGATCGTGGCCCCATACGGAGCTCCACCGAAGGGCCCAGTGGCAGGGTTCGCATGGCGGCCTCGGGCGATTTCGGCACACCCCTCACAAGGCTCGTGACCGAGCTCCAGCGAAGGCGCCAGTGGCACGGTTCGCATGGCGGCCCCGGGGCATGTCGGCACACCCCTCACAAGGATCGTCGCCCCATTGGGAGCCCCACAGAAGGCGCCAGTGGCAGGGTTCGCACGGCGGCCTCGGGCCATTTCGGCACACACCATCACGAGGATCGTGGCCCCATGGGGAGCTCCACCGAAGGCCCCAGCGGCAGGGTTCGCATAGCGGCAACGGGCCATTTCGGCACACTCCTCACGTGGATCGTGGCCCGATAGGAGCTCCACCGAAGGCGCCAGCGGCAGCTTCCCTCATGGCTCTCAGAGCCCTCTCCTGCTTCTGCTTCTCGGTCAGGGGGGCGCCGTCCTCGTCGTCGTCGGCGCCCGCGAAGACGGCCGCGAACGCGCCCCTGGGCATGTCGGACTCCGGCGGGAAGCCGTGGCCACATAGGGAGCGCGGGCGAAGATGGCATTCGTAACTGCGGCATTCACAACTGCGCATGGTCGGGTCCTTCGCCAGGCTAATAGCCAGACCCGACGTTCAGACGGGCCCTCCACCGTCGGGCGCGAAGACGCCCGCGGGCTCGAGTTTTGACGCGGGTGGGAAGGCGCTCTCAATCTCAGACCTCGAGTTGCCCAGCTGCCTTTCCGACGGTGCTGAGGCAATGAGAGGCCGCGGGAAGAGCAGCGGCTAGTGGCACCCGTTTTGAAGGCGGCGTCTCGGTTGGTCCCGGCAGAGGCTACAAGGCCCACGCCAGTCGCGTCAGCCTTGCAGGCGCCCGCTACATAGGCAGCTGCACGCAGCTAGCCTCTACTTTCTTGCAACCAAAATTAAGCCTGTTTGCAGGGTTGAGCTAGGCGTCGCGCACAGTGGAGCCCCTCCTGGCATGGGTAAAATTCATGCTGGAAGCAAGGCCACGCAATGCGTAGCACCGCCGCGGGCACTGCCCCAGCTCCAACCTAGCGTCGGGAAACAAACTCTAGCAGCGATCCCTGGACAGGCTGGACAGAATGGACCCGACATTTCGTCGCAAGGAGCTCGCCAACTAACAAGTTACGCTTTTCCTTCGACTCTCTGGGCTAGCAAGGG